CGGCTCAAGGTTGACTCAGCCTTCCATCCTTCCGAGGTGGGTAAAATGAGGACCCAGACTGTGGGGGCGATATGCTGAACTCTGTAAACCGCTTAGAGAGGGCTGAAAGCCCTATGAAGCGGTATATAAGTCGAACTGCTATTGCTATTGCTATCTGTAGGGGGCCTCATGGCCATTGTGACTGAAGCCTAAGGAATTAGTCAATGAAATCAAAGCCCAAGTAGAAACAATCCTTCTAATTATCTTTTGTCTTCTTTTTCCTTCAACCTCTTTTGCAGTCTCCCATTTCCCTACAGCTGGCTAGAACAGTTTATTGTTGCCAGGGGTCTTAGCTGCTTACTCACAGAGGTTTTATTGAAATTAATTTAAGGATCTCTAGGCTGTAAAACTCTAGGTTGTGCAATACATACATTAAATCCTTCTGTGACATTTCTTCCCCTCTCAATTATAAAGACCTGGGACTTTTTCTTATGCCCGAGCACTGGAAAAAGAATTATTGCACACCGTGCCCTCAGGGAAGAGTCGTATTTCTGGTTCTGTCTTTTCTCTTTGTCCTGAGTATTCTCAAAGACAGGAAAGGAACAAATATTTGCAATGTGTAATAAGTAGGGGCCTCTCCTTTTTCCAATTGTTGTTCATGTCAAAGGAAAAAAGACTGAAATGTTTTTGTTGTGTCTTGATATGTACAAGAAACAGTTTCTTGTCTGTATCCTTTTCCAGGTAACCTGAGACAGTTTGCTGCCTCTTTGTATGATTCCATTTTGGTACAATATATGGACACTCTCAAGCTAGCAGTGCCTTCTCTCATTTACACCCTCCAAAACAATCTGCAGTATGTGGCCATTTCCAACCTGCCAGCAGCTACCTTTCAGGTGAGATGCTCCTCCTACTGCCACTTCCTCCCTCCCTAAAGTGCTCTCCGGAAATGTTAGAAGCATCTTTTCAAAGGAGAATGTCCTTCAGTTTCATCCGTGACCCGACAAATGCGTGAACGTCAAAAGCGCGCCGACAAAACCGCGGTGCTAAAACCGCGATGTCAAAAGCGCGCCGACAAAACCGCGCCGACAGAAGCGCGATTTAAGGTAAGGTTTAGGGTTAGGGTTAGGGTTAGGTTTAGGGTTTGGTTTAGGGTTATAGTGTGCTTCTGTCGGCGCGCTGTTGTCGGCGCGCTTCAGCGCTCATTCGTCGGCGCGGTTTTGTCACCGTGGTTTAGTCAGGCATGCTTTTGTCGTTCGCGCGTTTGTGGTGGAACCGTTTCATCTACTTTATATACCTGCCATTCTTTTTTTTTTATGTGTCCTCCTTCCCCACATCAGAATAATGAGGATGGGGATCCTGAGTTATGTTCCTTTAAATCTCCTGGACAGTTGTTATTGAAATTCTGTGAAAAATAGAAAATACAATGAGTTCCCCATGTTATTATTTGATTTCATTTATCCTGATGGCATTAAGGTTGTTCACCACAGAAGTAGGAAGTGTAGCTACCTGTCTGGAAAGGACTGACAATAAACATATATATATAGATATATGCAAAGGGAGCCTTTTTCTGTCTTTAGGAAAAAGAAACTGAATGCTGTTTATGTAAATTATGGAGCTTAAGCAAATCCCTTGTTCTGCACAATTTTGGAATATTTTTATGATTTGGTCTAATATACTTTGTTTCTGATAATCAATTGTGGGGGGGCGACATGCTGAATTATGAGGTTCTGAAATCTTATCAGGGAGTCTTGTTATTCTCAAGCAAATAGACACACTACCATAAATAGTAGAGATTTCCTCTCTCTTTAAAAAGGAAAGTGAACAGTAATGGGATGCTTTAGTAGCCGAAGTAGCCAAACTGTTGCAATCTCCACTTTTTAATCCACTTTTAAGGGATTAAATAAGGGTACAAATACAACCTTGGCTATCCGATATTTGATTCTAAATCACTACAGTTTTCAGTAAACTTGTTTTTTCCCCCAGTAAAATTAATGATTTAAGGTGGATTAAATCAGTGGAACTGCATTTTGGTCTCATTTTGCAAATAGGAGACAAGAACTAAAGAGGGATCTGGAACTCTATTTATTTATTTATAAAATTTATATGCCGCCCAATCCCGAAGGACTCCGGGCGGCTTACAAAAGAGAGAAGAGAGAAAAAAAAAGGTTTAAAATCGCAACACTACATACATTCATTCTAATCGGGGCTGGACCTCAAGAGTGAGGTCAACAGCCCCAGGCCTGCTGGAACAGCCAGGTTTTTACAGCTTTCCTGAAGGCCATGAGAGTGGGTATGGTCCGGATGTCTGGGGGTAGCATTTTTCTCATTCCATTTAATTTTTAACTGGGTATTTTGACTCTCTAACCTGGGTAGGTAGATTGTGCCTGCCCTTAAGAGATTTCTGGTGTAATGTGAGAGTAAGGAGTATTGCCTCATGATCGCTTTCCAGTCGCGAGTCTACCTCCATCTTCTGTAAGAACTTCAGGAGGCCATATGATATTATCCAGTAATGAACTGTGGGTTTTCTTCCTGCTTCCCGATGAGT